GTCATCAGAGATTTTGATTCACGGCCTTCGCGCAGACGGCGCTGTCATTGAAACCTCCCAGTCACACCGTCACACAGACCGAGAGCAACTACAATGAAGTTGCAACTTTGCCGCTTTTGCATAAAATATTGAGATTTCATGTTAAGTGGCACTTAATGCAAATACGATCAAAGGTCGCCGCAGGGGGCGCCTCGACAGGTTAGCCACAGCGAAGTTAAGATGAGCTTAGAGCGAAATTTCCATTGAACTCTAATGTGAGTGCAGAGTGTGGGCATGGCTAGACAGCCAAGCGAATCAAACGTGGATTGTCTTGAATCGCAAATAGAAAGCATTCCACGAGATTTATCGCAGTGTATGGCTGCACCGCATGCGCTTCAGCTGCGACTCTGGGTCAGCTCGATGACCTGCAGTCGACCAGGTCAAGCGATACAACTTTCGCATGTTGTTGGCAAATGAAAACAAGACTTTGAACCCTCTTTAACTTCAAACATGCAAAAATTGCAGGCTGTCGACCGCATGCACATGGCCGAAATACGCACACACACAAACACACGCTCGCACACACAGCCAGATGCACTCGAATAACACATGAGCAGCTGCTGCTGCTGCTGCTGCTGCAGCTAGAAAACTGAATCAGAAACTGAATCCCGTTTGCTGTGCGGCGGCTGTGGCAAATGTGTTTGCATTTCAGGTGTCAACAGCAAAAACACATTCAGCTTTGTTGCAATAACAATAACAATAACACAGCAGCACAAAACAACAAAAACAATGAAGCTAAATCCTCTGCCAGCATTTTCAATACAATGAAAACATTTCACTTTGCTGCAGCAACAGCAGCAACAGCAGCAGCAGCAACAGCCAAACGAATTCGTACAGCTCGAGAATTTTTGGACACAAAACAAAATGGCAGCACAGCTTGCCGATGGAGGGGAAAGGGAAGGCGGGCAACAACGAAAACTGATGCTAAAGAAATCAATGTACTGAAAATGTGGAAAACTTGTATCAACTCAAAACAAGATGCAAAGTTTATGGCCAAAGCTTTGCGAAATGGAAAATGTGAAGAATTTACGAATTAGTTTTCCATTTATATAACAATATTTAGAAGTAAATGAAATATTATAATAAAGTTATTTTTACAGTTCATAGAGAAGAAAAATAATCTTATTGTGGTAATTAAATTTCTTTTCATTCTAATGTCTGTTTCTCTTTTTGTATTTCTCCATGAGAATCTCTGTCTCCCTTCAGGCCTTTTACAGTCCTCATCTTGTCTATATCCCTTTTCTCTCTCTCACTCTGTCTCTGTGTGTCTCACTCTTGCCTATTCTCCATGTTTGTTGCTTTAAAAATTATCATGAATTCAGTTTTATTTCACAATTCATTTGAAAACTGTTTTTATTTCTGTCAAAATTTCAGCAAATTTCAAAGCAACAATTTTGGTTTGTGCAAATTGAATTTGGCTGAAATCATTGCGATTTGCACTTAGACAGTTGTTGTTGCCTTTGATTGTTGCTGTACTTTTTATATATTTTGTGCCAGCTCAAGTACCTGAAGTGACATTTTGCACAAACACAGAGGACACTTCTTCAGGTTCAGCTTCAATTGCGCTTTATCTACGACTCGATTTTCCGAGCGTTTAACCAGCAGCAGCAACAACAACAACAACAACAACAACAGCAAATGAGAGACAGCAAGTAAACAAAAGTCAGAGACAGAGTTGGCGCTGAAGATGGAGTGGGAGTGGGAGTGCGAGGGGGAGGGGGAGATGGCACTGTCCAGGGCTACATCCTTGCTATGCAGTCCAGTCCACACTAAATGATGCTCGAGGGCAACGACTAGGAATTGTTGCCGATGCTCAAAAGTCAAAAGGCTACGCCTGGCAGCAGCTAACTGACTTTGGCTTTCAGGTATAATTAATCTTGTTTAGTCCTTGTCGCTGCTGCTGCTCCTACTTCTGCTTGTTGCTGTTGTTGTTGTTGTTGTTGCTGTTGTTGTCTGTCACCCGATGCTTCAGTTTGTTTGTCTTTTCGGCTGCTCCTTGAGAAGCGTAGGACGCTATCGTAATGTATTTAGAACGAGTTTAATTTGCTGGGCAACACATTTTTCTTGCGACCTGACCAAAGTACCCCAAATGCTACCGCCCTCTCTCTATCTCTCTCTCTCTCTCTCACTCTCTCTCACTCTGCTCTTGGCCAGGTTAACTATTAATTCTGGCCCCTGAGCAAGATTAACGAGTGCATGATTGCCTCAAATTGTCTGCCCATCCAACTAAACCCTCTCCCACTTCCCGCATCCTCCTCAGTCTCATCACCCACTCGTCCTTTATAGTTAATAGCAAAAATTCGTTGCATACTTCAAGGCGCTTCGTCGCACAGCACCAAATTTATTTTCGCCCAGTGCAATTTTTGTCGCCATTTTGGCAGCTGCTCTTAGCTGTTTTCTCAGTTCTTTTGGCTCTGCTTTCTTTCTGTAGCGCTGCACCACGCCTTTAATTGTAATTAATTCAGCTGCATGTCACAGACGTTTGGCGTATTTTCTTCACCTTTGTTTTCTTTATTTCATTTTCTTTTCCATGACTTAAATTGCAGAAACTTCAATGTGAATGCCAATAAATATTTTAAATGATTCCGAAATATGTTTTAGCCTTTTTTTTAAGTAAATGAATTGTTGAATTCTTTAATAGGAAATCTTCACGTCACAGACGCAGTAATATTATATAATTTACAATTCTGTAAGCTACTCATGACGAATTTCATTCTGATTCGACTCCTCATTAATATAGTGAATGACATTCGCTACGTTTCGCTTCTAGATTCTAGATTCTCTTTAGATTATTATATATTTATATATTATTGGTTACATTTTTGTTGATTTGATTGCAGATATTTCTATTTTTGCAGCATTAATTTGTTGCTTAAATTTCAAACACTTGAAATAAACGGCACAGGAGCAACTTCAATTGGCTGCTTTTAGCTTGCACTCGCCTCCCACTACATACACAACTCCATTACATTTACCACACACACACACGCACACATATAGAGACACCAACACCAACACACACATAGATCACTTTTGCGTATACGCATTGGCATACCAAAGCCCCAACGGCAATGGGGCATGCTCATCAAGGGTAACAACTGGGAGCTGTTACCAGGTAGCTGCTGCCTGCTGCCTGCTGCCTGCTGCCTGCTACCTGGTAACTGCTGCCAGATAGCTCGTCCAGCCCAAAGTGCGTCAAAACTAATGGCCACTGACAACAAAGTAAATGAAGCATAGCTGCAGGCCAAGGGGGCTCAAAGGGGCGCGTGGGGCAAGAGCCGTTGGGTTGGCAGTCAAAGTGCAGCAAACAGGATGAAAAGCTCGACTCGACTGACGACACACAGAGTGCTGGGCTGGACAGCAGCTGCTGGGGCGGCCACGTAATAGGCGAAATGAAAAATCTATGAAGTTAAATGAGTGAAAATCAGGAAAATGCATTAATGAATGAATGACAGCAGGCGCTGTCAGCAGCACTGGCACGATAAGGACATTGACGAGTTACGTCCAACCCAAGCTCCTCCCGCACCGCATGCCGCGCTCCAGCCTCACCCCAGCCACTGGCGATTCCCCATAGGGCAGCTTTGCGTTCGTACGTGAGTGAATGATCGAGTGTGTGTGTATGTATGTGTGTTTGACGGGCAGCTGGTCAAGTCGGGATTTGTACGGCGTGTACCACGTTGATGCTGCCCCTGCTCACGGCTGCGCTGCCGTTGCCTCGTTGAATGTCTTATTTATGAATGCAAAAGCGTTCTGTTGGGTTTGGCTGCTGGACCTGGATTTGGGCATGTAGTACAGCAGATATGATAACCGATGTTCAACACGTACCCCCCTAGCATTGAGCTGGGCTACACACAGTAACGCATACACTTGCTTGTGTTGGCAGCCATAATAGGCGCATGTCCAAACAGTTACAACAGCTCCAATTCCGTAGTTGGCTCTTGATGAAAAATATGCTGTAATTACAGCTATAGCACCTGGCTAATATAGCGAGTAACATATATGTATTTTGAGTAAAAGAAGTACGTAGTTTAAAACTGTGCAAAGTGCAACGAAAATCCTTCCATTTGCGGAATTTCAAATTGAACTCAAACCATAAGCAGAAAGAGAGCAGCAACAAAAAACATCAGCATGCGATCGCCTTAATATCTTCATTTAGCAGAGCAGGACAGGCATATGAACAGTAAATGCCTCTTCGTCCATTGCTGCTTATTTGCATGAGAAATAGCTGTAAATCAATTTGAAGCGAGGCGCCTTTACGAAAAAAAGAGAAAGAAGCAATATGTGTAATGGAGCAGGCAGAGATAGAGAGGGAGACGGATATATGTATGCTACAACCAATGAGAAGCGCCATTACAGCTGCTTGAAAGAAATGAAAGCTGAGCTTAAAGTCAATGAACCAGTTCATTCGAGTAAAAGCGAGACAGACAAGTGCATGCATACACAAATACTTATAACAAAATCAAATTTCAAACATTCAATATTCAAGGTCATTTTATAATTATATTAATTATATCATAACGAATCAAATTTATATGCATGCAGTACAGCATGCAGATTTGATTATACGGACATATATGTGTTCATGGTAATAGAAGTCAATCTTTCATTTCATTTTCATTTTCATAACCACATTTTCTGTTTTCACACTTATTTATATATAAATGTCCTGAAATAATTTGCAATACCTTAAAGACTAAAAAAAAAAAAAAAAAAAAAAAAAAAAAAAAAAAAAAAAAAAAAAAAAAAAAAACAAAAAAAAAAAAAAAAAAAAAAAAAAAAAAAAAAAAAAAAAAAAAAAAACAATAGATAGAACATTACAATTCGGAATGCAACGTCTAGACAATCGCAGCCGACAGAATTTTAGTCCGTTGAGCACAATTTTCTCTTTCTCTTTCCACTTGGTGAATGACTATAAATATAACATGACCCTATTCGCAACCAAACTAATAAAACGGTAATTGTTAGAGGCTTTCAGATTGTTTTTTGTATAAGGATTAAACGTTATTAAATTCCTCTACTTATTATATGGAAAACATTTTTTGTCCTCCAAATTCTTTAAGGCTGGCTTTGCAACAGCCTCTACCCTTGCGATCAGAGCAGTCACGCACTTTTTACTACCAGTGAATTTTAGAAGAAACTGGTAGCCAAGCAGCGGCGCATATTCAAGGTCCAGATCACGTAACTTTTTCGGCATAAAGTTAACACACGCCGCCGATTCCTTCAGTGCCGGTATAGCCACGCTGGCAAGTTGAGAAAGCCCTTCAATCGAAATCTGCCCACATTCAAGTACATCCTCAACAGTAAACCCCTTCACATTTGTCCCCAAGACCTAGACGATGAGATGGCAAATATTATCTCTTTCCCTCAGATTTACTATTCGTCCATGCTTACCAGGAGACAGCTCAGAAGTAGAATGCTCTTAACGGTCTGCATTTCGATGTAAACTATCTTGTGAATTGAATTGATGACGCTATTTATAAAGAAAGTCAAATCAATTCGGTATGCTGAATAATCGCTGACCATTTCATATTCAATTCGAGCTACACCAGCGGATCAAATTAATTTAAGCATCCTGCTTATAAAAAGAGCAAAACGATCTTATCGTGAATCTAGTAACACCCGAAATGCAGTTCATGAAAGCCGTCTTCTTGCTCAGTTGTCTCCTGGTAAGCCACCTCCCTCACTCTACGCGAATGCTGACTGACTCTCTCTCTCTCTCTCTCGTCTCTCTCTCTCTTTCTCCGATAGATTGTGGGGCATACTCATGTCAATGGCTTCGATCTGTTGAAACTATTGGACTGCGGTGAAATCGCAATCGCGGCTGGCAGAAAAGTAGCTGTGAATCTCGTACCCTTAATAAGAGACTTGGGAAAGTGCGCAAATTTCAATCTCGCTTCGAATGCCAATCTCGATATCAAGGGCTTCCTCGAGGTTGTGAACCAGTTCCTTAAAAAAGCAACTGGCAATCAAAAGTGTTTGCAGACACTGCTGGATGCAGTTAACGGCCAGGTCCAACCGTATGTGAAACAAATCAAAGAGGCGCAATGCCTCCCCTAGACACATTCACATTCTAATCAGATTCAATAAAGTGCCTCCAATTTTTCACAATACCCTGAAATATTACTTAGAAACTGTATGATAGGGCTGGTGAGAGTGTTGATATTTTAATACTGAGTCACATGTTGGCTAATGTGAAATGATTTTCGAGCATACACACGCGATTTGTAATTGTAACATTTGCACAGATGCATTTGATACAGACGTTCCATTGTTGTGACCATTCCTGGAATGCATTTCTGTAGGGCATTCGTGGCCTGTACGATGCAGCATCTTCTTGTGATCACCACAGTATCATCAGCGTATTAACACATCTCTTGGGCCCAGTTCAGTGATTGCATTGTGGGTTGGCATATTCGCAGGAAATATTGAGTAGAGTAGGACGCTGCGTTGAGGGACTCCGGCTGCCATTGTTTATTGTTGTGGTCTGAAACCAAACTGAAATTTCGGGATTGCCTTAATAGCAGCCTCGATGTTGAGAAGTCTGTTAAGTATCTGTCTCTCCATCAGTTTGCCCAGTGCTGGGAAAAGGCTGATAGGTCTATATAAGTTCACATCTGTATGCTGTTTTCCGGGCTTTATGGGACTATGAAAAATAGATGTTGGTGGATTCTCAGACCTACCCGACCTGCAACAAATACCGCGACACGAGAATTTTACATATATGTATGTAAGATGAAGCATACTTCACCTTAGTTATTTTTTATTTAACTAGAAATAATGAATATGACAGAGCAGCGTTTGCCGGGTCAGCTACTAGTATTATATATACTTATAATATATTAATATTTTTATATTATTGTGAACACGAAAATTTTTTTAAATAAAACAATATATTCGTTTAAGCGTTTTCACGTACAATTTTCAACCAATCGATGGGATACGCTAGAACCTTAACTTTTTCTTGGAAAACAATTTTTGTCGATCAATTTCTGCAAAACTGGCTGCACTTCTGCATTAATGTTTTTTATCAAGGTCGACAGGCACTTCTCCTTCTGAAATAATCGTTGAAAAAACTTGTAAATAAGGTCAACAAATTTTTGTAAGTCTAAGTTGGTTGCGTCGTCTGGAACAAAGTTCAAACACGCCGCAGTGTACTTCAGTTCAGGTACGGCCAGACTAGCGAGAAAATGGACCGAGTTAGCCCCAGTCTGCACGCAATCTAGGATTCCATCGATTGTAAGTCCGTTGGTATTGGAGCCCAAGAGCTAACCGGGGAGATAGAATCGGCAAATGGAATCTCTCCTTACATCAGATATAGCTAGTCATTCTTGCTTACCAGGAGACAGCTCAGCCAGAGAATGCACTTGACAATCTGCATCAGTGGTGGTCAGTCTAAATGACTATCTTATGGACTAACTCGATGGCGATATTTATAAGGAAAGTCAAATCAATTCGGTATGCTGGCGAATCAAATTCATTTAAGCGTCCTGCGAATAAGAATAGCAATGCGAGCTGATCTAGAATCAGTAACACTGGAAATGCAGATCATGAAAGCGATCTTCTTGCTGTGCTGTCTGCTAGTAAGGCACCTCTCTCACTCTACGCGAATGCTGACTGACTGACTCTCTCTCTCTCTCTCTTTCTATACCGTAGATTATGAGTGATAATCATGTAAGGGCTGGAGTTGATGTGTTTATAGTACTTGACTGTGGTGAAATTATTATTGATGGTGCCGGCTACGTTGCTGAGAGGGGCATACCCTTAATAAAGGACTTGGCAAAATGCATAGGATTCGATTTGAATTCTAAAGAAGACCTGAATTTTTTGGGACTAGTGCGCACCTTCAACCAGTTCCTCAGAAAAGTGAGCATCAGCCCATTTTGCATAGAGAAATCGTTGGAAGTAGTTTTGAGCTATATAAAGCCGTATGTGCAAGATTTTAAAGAACAAAACTGCATGTTCGGTAAAAATTCAACAATTAATGATCTAATAAACCACTCCTAATTGGGCTCTCGCATCTCGTTTCTATAAATAAAAAACTTTAATTTAGAATTTTTAAATTACTCTTACAAATTTCTATCACATAATAATTGTGAATAAGTTTTAGCCATATGTTTATACGTTTTCAGATATAATGCTCAAGAAGTGCGCTTGGTATGCATTTTATGTTGTACAAGTTCTGCCATTCGGGCCGTACAACTGCATAAACTCTGTTTTAAGCGTAGCATCCACGCACTTTTCATTTGCAAACAATTGTTGAAAAAAGTTATAAGCGAGCAAGACCAAAGCTTGGGCGTCTCAGGTATAACACGAGCAGCAAGCGAAGCGCCTGATTCAAATGCAATCTAGAATTCCATCTAAATTGAGTCCGCTGTCAAATAGGTTCGTTTCGCAGATTTAGTGAGCCATTCCCGCTTACCAGGAGGCAGCTCAGCAATAGAATGGTCTTAGTGATATGCATTTTGATTTAGAAACCCGCGATGTCATGGACTATGGACTATACTCTATATGGACTCAAATCAGTTCGATATGCTGAATATTCGCTTTTATATTCACATTAGATTCGAGCTAGACAACAAACCAAATTCATTTAAGCCCTGCTATTGAAAAGAACAATACGAGCTTATCTAGAGTCTAGGTAGTAACATTTCAAATGCAGTTCATAAAATGGATCTTGATACTGAGCTGTCTCCTGGTAAGCCACCTCTCTAACTCTACCTAACTGCGGACTTACTCTTTCTCTCACTCTCTCTCTCTTTATCTGTCTCTCTCTTTCCTTGTAACCCATAGGCTGTGAGGGAGAATCATGTAGAGGCAGGAGTCGATCTGTTTAAGGTATTTGACTGCGCTGAAATTGTCATTGACGGCGTCGGCTACGTGGCTGTTAAGACCATACCTTTACTAACGAATTGGGCAAAATGCGTAAATTTCGCTCCCAATGTTAAGGGCGATATTGGTCTTCAAGACTTGTTTTTCATTCTGAATAAGTTCCTCAAAAAAATCGTAATGAGTTCGAAGTGCTTGGAAGAATCGGATGAGACATTCAATGGTTATGTCGGTCCGTATGTGAAAGAATTCATTGATGGGAAGTGCTTGGAGTGGCCCCAAAAACCTATAAACCAATCGCAATATTGATATAATTATTATTAATTCAATATATGAGCGCAGAAAATATATTTCAAGTCTCTCGTATTCCGAGCTAGACCAAATGAAAATTTTAATTTGTCTAATTATGAACATGCACTGGAGCATGAAACGATCGAGTGTGTATCCTCGGATCATTTCACATTTTCCAACATGTGGCTCAGTACATCAACTATGGTGAAGAAGAGATGCAGAAATGAAGCAGTAGGACACAATGTTGGAGTCTAAACACTCTCACCAGCCCTATCATACAGTTTCCAAGTAATATTTCAGGGTATTGTGAAAAATTGGAGGCACTTTATTGAATCTGATTAGAACGTGAATGTGTCTAGGGGAGGCATTGCGCCTCTTTGATTTGTGTCACATACGGTTGGACCTGGCCCTTAACTGCATCCAGCAGTGTCTGCAAACACTTTGGGTTGGCAGTTGCTTTTTTAACAAACTGTTTCACAACCTCGAGGAAGCCCTTGATATCGAGATCGGCATTCAAATCGGGATTGAAATCTGCGCACTTTCCCAAGTCTTTTAGTAAGGGCACGAGATTCACAGCTACCTTGCCGCCAGCCTCGATTGCAATTTCACCGCAGTCCAATAGTTTGAACACATCGAAGCCAGCTGCATTGACATGAGTATGCCCCACAATCTATCGGAGAAAGAGAGAGAGGAGAGAGAGAGACAGTCAGTCAGCATTCACGTAGAGTGAGGGAGGTGGCTTACCAGGAGACAGCTGAGCAGGAAGATAGCTTTCATGAACTGCATTTCGAGTGTTACTAGATTCACGATAAGATCGTTTTGCTCTTTTTATAAGCAGGATGCCTAAATTAATTTGATCCGCTGGTGCATTTCTAATTGAATACGGATACGCCAGCATACCGAATTGATTTGAGTTTCCTTATAAATAGCGTGATCAAGTCAGTCCATAAGATAGTCTAAATCAAAATGCAGATCGTTAAGAGCATTCTTTTGCTGAGCTGTCTCCTGGTAAGCAAGATATATCTGACATGAGGAGAGATTCCATTTGCCGATTCTATCCCCCGTCTAGCTCTTGGGGTCCAATGCCAACGGACTTACAATCAATGGAATCCTAGATTGCGTGCAGGCTGGGGCTGAATCGGGCTCTACGCTTGCGAGTCTGGCCATACCCGAGTTGAAGAACACTGCGGCGTGTTTGAACTTCGTTCCAGACGAGACAGCCAACTTGAATGCTCAGCAATTGGTTGAAGTTGTTTACAAGTTTGCTCAACGATTATTTGAAAAGCAGAAGTGCCTGTTGGCCTCGATCGGAAGGATTCATGCAGCTGTTACACCAGTCTTGCAAAGTTTAATCGACAAAAAATGTTTACCTCTAAAACGTTAAGGCTCGAGTAAATCCCCTCGTTTGGTTGAAAATATTACACTTGGAGACGCATAAGCGAATAAATCTTGTTTCATTAAAGAAAAGAAAGAATGTTCCAGCTGGGAATATTATAATAAATATAAAGGCAACAAGTTCTACTGGACAAATGTTGGCTTCATTTTAAGTGCAGGATTGCAAAATACTTCAATATAGGAATTTGTGGTACTATTTGTGAAATCATTGCAGAGTTGTGTTTGGTGCTCAATTAGTGAATGTGGAGCGGTGGCGTGTGGGGCTTCGCATGACCCCAACGCCGAAAACGCACTTCATGTTGAACAACTCATTTGCACCACAGTTGGTTTTCCAATTGCGTTGACCCTAACTTCACTTTAGGCTGCTCCACTCGAATGCGGATTGCCTCTCGCCCGCAGGGCTGGCAACATTTTTCGCCTATGAAAACGTTGTCGCATATTAACGTAATTAGTTCATGCGCCCCATAGAACTTGCCCGGCTGCAACTGGCTGTGGCTGGTCGGCCTGGGTGGTGGGTGAGAGTGTGTGCGGCTAACGGGGTGTCTATAGCTGAAAACTCGCACTGCAGGCCGAGGGGCATTCCAGTTCTATGGGTTTTGTAGTATAGCCGGACAGACAGAGAGACAGACAGACAGAGTTTTGGCTTGTGCCCGGCCGGCTACTGTTGTTTTTGCGGTATTTGGGAATTGTGGCCGGAATTATGATGTCCAGGACCAGCCGACGCGACGTTCAGCCCATTAAGGCAAGTGAATGAGGCGCAGGCGAAGGCGAAGCTGCGAGGAAGCGGCGAGGCAGCAGTGCGTGCGTGTTTTACATATGAATATGGCCGGCAGTTGGAAACGTGTGCAGAGTGGACCGTGTGTGTTAATTGAAACGTGATTGTGTCGAAGGCAGAGCACACTGACTGCCACGAGTCCGAAATGGGGCCAACCCCGATTTTCTTTTCTCGGCTTTTTCTCTCTCTCTCTCTATATCTCTCTCTGCTTAGAGAAATGGAGGCCGGGCTCGTTTTGACACTTGCAATTTGCAATTGTCAACGGGCAAATGAATGTTTGTAGCTTGAAAGCCGCACTAAAATGAGGAAAAACTCTAGTGCAGGCTTTAAATGTTGTGCGTAATATAATTTAGTTGATGCTCGTGGGCTTTGGGGAATTCAATTTGCACGCACGCACAATTGAATTTGAATGCGAAACGGCTTCGATATCGAATGCATTATTAATTTACACACACGCACACACACACACACAGCTAGTTGTCCCTTGCTGTCCTTTACGTTTTGCATTCGTACATTTATCCTTTCACACAAGCACACACACACTCACACACACACAGGCTTACGTATATAGGTTCTTCACTTTCGCATAAACGACATCGATGCTGATATTGATATTGATGATGATTCCGGTCTTTGCAAAAGAGAATTTCAAATGCACTCCTAATGTGATTAAGTTGAGGTCTCAAGTCGGACTTTGAGCCTGACACACAATTTGAGTTTCTAATTTCTTTTCAGAATCCTACATTATACGAATTTCGCTCAGAATTTAAGTGTAATGGGCCATAATTGTAAGCCAGCAGGAGGAACCTTGTCCTCTTGGCAATTCACGTTGGAACAACTTATATTAATTACGTTAAAGGAATGCTTGAATGTAATACAACCTAACCTTAAGTATAATGATACGGATTGAATTTTAATTTTCCTTAATTATAAAGAAAATTTAGCAAGACAATATTGTCAAAGGAATATTTAAATATATTTATAAATTTTTATTTTATTTTATTTCTTTTATATATTATTTATTAATATTTTTTTATGTATTACATTTTTCATTTAAGATTGAAACATATTCGAATATTCACTGGATATTGATTTGTATGAAAAGTGACAAATCAAATATATAAATATTATTATTTAGTGTTAATTAATTTTAAAGACTTGTCTAGATATTTGCAGCTGTTAGAAACCAAAGCAGATCGAATCTTCAGATACATTAGAAATTTTAAGCTGATTAGTATATTTCTGTAAAAAATGTAAATTTGTAATATTTGTTATGCAATCCGAAAAATAAATATATTTCTAAGCGTATTATCCATGGCTCTTCGATTATGTAAGCATATTATTCACAACGATTTCGATTGCTGCATGGCAAATACTTAGCGTGAATGATGAAGAAGATCTACTAATTATACAAATATTATTGTTAGTACGTACGATAAGATATAGTGTATGTGTGTGTGTGTATCTGACAGTGCAAATCGATAGAAGACTTTATTTCTGCACATCAAGGACATCAATCAATTCAAGGGACTATGTGACGCTCGGAGCTCATCCTGGCAATGAGGCCTAAAAACTAAAATCCATTTGCTTACCAAGTGCCTTGGACACTTTCGACTTGACACGAATGTCACAAAATTGAGATTATGTCATTTGTTTAGTTTGCTGCCTCAATTATTCAGTAGCCAAAAAGGCAGCATCATAAACAATTTGCATGTGTGTGTGAGAGAGAGAGAGAGAGAGAGTGTGTGTGTGTGTGTGTGTGTGGGTCCTTGTGGTGTGTGTCCAATTACATAAATTTTGTGAGACAATTTCGATTTGTATTTTCTTTTACTTAAATTGTGCCTTCGGGTGCTTTGACTCAGGCAGCAAGCCAGTCGGACAGACAGACAGACGGCCGGAAAACGTGTGTGTGCCAGCCAATTGTAATACAATATTTATCACCACACACACAGACACAGTGACACAGGCAGACGGTGTTGTGGTAATTAATTTCAATATGCTCAGAATTTTGCATTTGCATATTTATTTGAAAGCTGCCATAATTATATTTATGTGTGGCAGCTGCTGTTCAACTTTGGCCTGGATCTCGAGTTGAGGCTAATTGATGGACAATATGTGAAATCAAATGAAATTGTGATGCGATTTCTTAAAGAGCTTGAGGACACAGATTGTCAAGATCTTAGCCTGGTCGTAACCGCAACAAAATCAATTGCCTGTCTATGCTAGCCACACATCAATGTGTGTGTGCGTGTGTATGCGTGTGTGTGGGTGTGTATGTGAGCTGGCTCATGCAAAATTTAATTTTAATTTCAGCTAAGCAAATGTTGCGAAAGTGAGAACAGGCAATTTCCTTGCCTTAACAAAAGTCAAAACAAAAAGCTCTAGACACGCCCACACTAGCCGCCCCAGTCGTTTGACTATGTATGTATGTATATACATACATATATCCCGTGCAACAGCAACAGCAACAAAAACAGGAACAGCAACAAGATGAACAAGAAGCTGCGAGCATATATTTTAACCACTTGACTGCATTGTGGCTAAAATGGCAGCAAGAAGTCAAAGTCACCGCCCGAAGTCAGCGTCGCTCAGCTGTGTGCCACATCCGCCCCACTTGCCGTCCGCCCACATCGTCTGGCAGCACTAGTCCTTTAGCCAATTGACATGCAGACCTGCCTGGCAGCCGTAAATCGGCATAAATAATTCATTATTGCCGCCTCGTTGCGCATAAATCAAGTCAGCCGGTCCAAAGCCAAAACCAGAAACACTGAGGTCACATGGAACAGTTGACTGCTGGGTCTAACTTGAACTTTAGCCAGCATGTAAGAGTCTTGACAAGTCTCGTCTGACTGAAGCTAACAAATACACACACACACACACACACACACACACACACACGATATGTTTAAATAAATAAAAAAATAATATGCAAAAAAGTTAATTGGAGATGCCGGGGATTGAACCCGGGGCCTCTCACATGCAAAGCGAGCGCTCTACCACTGAGCTACATCCCCATGATGATTTGTGCCTGCCAAATGCTGATAAGTCACTCAAGCCCATGAAACTAATACAATTCAATGAAGTGGCTGTTTAGTGTTAGATATTGCGAGTTTTGATTGCTTTCATTTAATTTATTAGCAAAGTCAACAAATTATAAACAAGTATAAGCAGTACACAGCTAAATACTGAATAATCAACCTGATTTTCTCTTTATATTAATAGATTTTAATAGTTCACAATTCATATATAATCCTAAGTCGAATTCTTTATTCTCTTCACGTATCACTTTAATGCGCATGACCATTAACAATTGATAGGCGTTTAGCTTAGCTTGCTGTTTGCGCTGCCGCTAACTCAACGGGGATGTAGCTCAGTGGTAGAGCGCTCGCTTTGCATGTGAGAGGCCCCGGGTTCAATCCCCGGCATCTCCAATTCAATTTTTTTTATTTTAATTTTCTCTATATAAAATGCTCTTTGAACAAGGCGATAATATTTTTGCTGTGGCTGTAAGCGATCGCATTCAGATGTACAGCCCCGTTATTTCCCCCCTCTCACTCTTTTCGTGATGGTTTCACGTTCAGTTGCTCTGCAGAAACTGTGCACGATCGAGTATTTCGAGTACGAAATTATTCCGATTTGAGATCACAATCGATCGCATTTTTGCTTCTTCATTCGTAAAATCGATAAAGTGATCCATGCGGCTAACAGGTGCACAGCATGTTAAACAAGTAAATTATTCAGTAGCACCTCTTCGTTTCTTGCATTGTGAGTGTGCGGCTATTTCTATACGCCCGCATGATCGTTTCAAAATACAAAAACTGTAAAATGCACCGCGCCATGTATCGAAGAGAGATGGAAAGAGAGTGCCGGCCGCACTGTGCCAGCCAGTAGCAAGTAGTCAAAGCGAGACGAAGCGACGCAAAGAACCGCAGCCAGTGAGGCAGTATAAAGTGAGCGTGAGTGTGTGCGTGCATACGAGAGTACTCAAGCGAGTGTGTGCGTGTGTGCGCGTATGTGTGTGGGGTTGACGTCGCTCTCTTATGTTTTTCTACGTTTTTGTTGCTGTCCATTGAATTGAATGCGTCAATTCCGCTCGCTGTCGGCGCTGCGCGCCTGGCACTTTACTTAAATGATTGAACGATTTTTGCACGGTTTTTGAAAATAAAGTTCATTTCGGTTCCATTCTCGTTCCCTTTTCCAACGGCCCAGGCCCAGGGAGCAGACACAAATTTTCGATCTCTTATGATTGGCAGCCATTGGTCGATCGATTCGAAGAAGACGCTGACGCTTCGAGCAATGATGGCGCAGTTGCTCTACAAACAGTTCGCTTGTATTTTAGCTAATTGTTGATCTTATATGAACGAGTTAAGAGAATTCACATTTGATTGACGTAAAGCATTTGATTTTTTTTTTTTAATTTCGCTGACAGCTAAAGCGGATTGAGAGGAAACTTTCTTTCGTTTCTTTTCTTAGATTAAAGCGTTTTATATATACAAATACAGTATATCTCTAGGTTGGCTTGCATATTAATTTGAAAAGAAAGTGCTCAGGTATTTTGCTTAATCTCCAGCATTTGCCAGTGCCGCCTGCGACCTGCCTTAACACCTGCCTTCCAGCCAGTAGGAATTCATTTCGCGCGAATTTCTTATAAATATGCATGCAAACAAAATGGCCGCCAGCTGTTCCAGTAGCTGAGATAAATACAGGTGCGTCCAGCCCAGCGTCGCAGCAGTCCTGAAAGGACCTTAATTAAATGTTAAGTGTAAACTTTAAATGCAATTGGCAATGCAATTTGTGCACGAAACTCTGACTTCCACTTTGCCGGCTTGTTAATTATAAGCAATTTCATAAGTTAATTTGTGCACAGAGAAGGCGAGCAGCAGCCGGAATGAGCAAGAGAGTCAGTCACACAGTGGGAGCGAGAGGGAGAGAGCAAAAGAGACAGTCATATGTGGAGTGCACAACAAATTTTTGCTTAAATTTCATTACGCCATCAGCAAATATTCTGCCCAGCTGCAGTCCCCCTTCTGCCGTCATTCCAGCCTTAGTTTGTTTGTTTGCCAACTTTTACGAAACTAATTAAAACGATAAGAGCGAATCACCAAGCGAACGAACGAACGACCGAGCGAGCGAGCGAGCGAATGAACGAACATCCCAAGGAGCTCGCGATTGCGGGTCCAGCAGTCAGCCTTCTAGTGCTTTTGAGTGTTATTTGATCATTATCTGTCGTCTCTGCTGCATGACTACATTTCGTACATTCGTTTTGGATGGCTTTTGTGTTGTTGCCCACACACGGCAAATGCCAGTTGGAGGTGGGTATGCGGGTGTGTTGTCCCTGAAAATTGAGCCCGTGCCCGGGGGAAGCTGGACCCGGGACTGGGACTGGGCCTGGGGCTGTGCTGCTGCTTCAGTGGTCATACGGAAATTAAATAAATTCCATAAGCTGGCCAGCTACCCCGATCAATCATGGCCATGGCACACGTCAGCAACCACTCAAAATGCCAACTGTCAACTGTCAGCACGGCAAAAAGTACAGTTGCCGACAAAGGATGGAACCACGAAGGAGTTCTACGTTACGGCTCAACAAAATGTTGCATCCACAGGCTGGTAAAGAATTGCAATGAAATGCATACAATAAAATCTATATACTCATATCTATAATGTATTGTATCAGTAGATGATATTCCTGACGATTTTTATGCATTATTATAATATTGTTATTCATTTGAAAAGCAGTGCTAATATTTAACAATATTTGTTGTTTTTTAAAGTTATATTTATATTAAGTTTAAATTATAAATTAAGAAAAGATTTTTGTAAGTACCTAAAAGTATGTTATATTACATATTTACAGTTAAACTTCAAAATCTTATATTTTATATTTAAGCAAATATTATTACTATTACTGCTACTCTTAATATTTACTTGTTAATAAAATTGATCACTAAAATTTATTTGTTTGCTATTAAGTTTATGTTATTTTTAATAAATTTCTATTTTCTTAGATTTATTTATATTCTTCACATCCCTCATAAATTCTTGAATCCTTTATAACTCGATTCCTTCACATCTGTCGCCTGTCAATTGTCTTGGCATCGCATTTGAATGGCCTTTGTTTTCCAGGAATCGCATTGGCCTGGTCAAAAAATGTCGTCTGCATATGCAGCGGCACGTTCCCAGTGCCGACACCTCCAGCGCCAGCTTCATCACTGCCCGCCTCCCATTCATCACAACTGCATGCAAAACTCATATGCATTCATACTTCGTGAATCCTTCAAACAAATTGATATGCCATACAGATGGAGCAGTCAGCTGGAAACAGCGTTGGCTACTGCTGATAAGCGGGTCTCAGCTCGGCACAGACAATGGGCATTAATGCTCGAGAGCGAGAGTGAAAGCAAGTGCATGAGTTATCAATTTAATTGAGAGCGTTGAGCGAATGGCATGGGAAATACAATGTACACACATTTGTTTGTCCGCAGTGCGCTGATAGGCTCACCTAAAAGTATGCTGCGTGTCTGTGTGTGTGTGTGTGTGTCTGTGCGAGTGTGTGATTGTGATTGCTCGTAACAGCTGTTTCCAGCTCTCTCCCTTCATCAGACACTCGCATTCCAGTTTCAGCGTCACTCACTCTCATTTCAAGTTTTAAGCTAGTGATGAGCGCCACTGAGATCTAATGATAGCAGAAGCACCTGAATACAAAATTAATTTAAATTCAATAGCCATGTTTTAACACGAAATAGTCATAAGCATATATTTTACAACTAGTTTCTTAATAGACTTGTCTTAATAATTCGCTTTGGCTCTTCCGTTAATGATATACGATATATATACGATATTCACTGGCAAGCGACCATCTCTAGCAAGCTTTGAGCTCACCTGTGGCTTTTGGTGACTGGCCCTCTTGAAGTAGCGCCGTTGGCCCGGTCACAATCAGTATCAATTCGCCCGCGAAAACGGTTAAGTCGTTGAAGCGCGAGACATTCGATTGCGCTAAGTGAGTAGAAAGAACTCGACGAAAGAGAAGCAAAGCAGAAATAACAACAAGAGTACCTACGACTGCTACTACAAATACAAAAACTAAAACAAAAAGAGCAGCAGCAACAACAACAGCTACAAATTATTTTACGTGCGCATGCGTCTCACACTTTATCTTCGCAATTCGCCGTTGTCGCCGCCTTCGCCGTCGCCGTTACCGTTGCCTTCGCCGTTGCTGTCTCTGTCCCTCGCGCACTTCTCACTTATCTTTGCTGTTGATTGATTTCGACTCCAAACATCAGTTCGCCTGTGCGTACGTGTATTTGCATGTGTGTAGGTGTGCATGCGAAATACGTAAAGAAAACAGAAATTGAATCAAATACAATTGAATAAAATAAATTAAATACAATTTAAAGAGCAAGAGATAAAAAAAAATAAATAAATAAAAAAAAACAGTGCACAGCCATAACAACAAAGCTATAAATAGCAAGGGCATTAAAACTTTTGCCAACAACAAAACAAAACTAAACACAGACTCACTCACACACATACGCGCGTACGCCCACCCATACTCGCTCACATTAACGGATTGTTTATTTAAGCGGTAAGTTGAGGAGCTGTCAAACGCACAATTTGCATGCAAAACTGCATGGAAGCGAAAAAGTTTATGCAACGCCTGCCTGTGCATGTCAAACTGTACGGCAATGATGTCGCACGGCCTTGGCACAGTTTTAAAGTCCTGCTCAGAGCTCGAGGGGCCAGCAAATAAATTTAATGAGAATTGTGCCACAAATTGAAATGGAAATTTATGAAACTAAATTGGATTTGATAATACAAATTCATTATTTTTAATTTTGCTCGTTTTTGCACTCAGTATAAATAAATGAAATTAGATTATGTTTGATAATTTGATATACATATGTTCAGACTTATATACAAAATGGACGTAATTATAGACTGTTTGTTTAGGCTTTTCAGTTCAGCCAATGCTTTGAGCTTCCGCACAGTTTGAGATGTCGCCAAATAATTTGAAAGGAAAGCTATAAGGTTTTTAGAAAATAAATGTTTATTTAAATTGACATTTTTGTTTTCTTCTAAATTTAGACACATTATTTCTAATTTAAATGCATATTAAAAAAATAATTACATTTTCTTAAATCGCAGTTTAAGAAAGCTTTAAAAACAGTTTAAGGCGCACTGACTCAAATTATACATTTTAGTGAATTTTGTGTGCTCGCACTTAATTATATATAACTAAAAGCAGCGAAAACGGAATGCATTTTTCAATAGCAAAAACCGTTTGTACTAAATGTATATAAACATATATACATATATATTATTATTATCTCTTCTGTTGGCTGTATTATTGGCACACGCAATGCGGCTCAAAGTTGTTTGTTTTTTTGATTTGTTTTCTGTTTTAGTTTCTGCGAGCAATCAACCTTAAAAGCCGCACGCTAAATAAACTAAATGTGCAATAAACATTAAACATTTTTTAACCATAGCAAAATGTGTTGCCCTGTTAACTGTTAACTGCTTTTAATGGCCATAGCCAAACGGCAGCAACAACTTGCATAATCCGTAATTGTTTTGATTTATTTCTCTGTTACGGCTCCTTATGCCCCGCTTGTTGCGTTTGCTGTCGTTGTTGTTGTTGTTGTTGTCGTTGTTAGTGTTATTAGTCTTGTTGCCACGTTCATGCACACGCCGCTGCCCCTTGCAGCCCTCCCTCTCTCTCTTGCACATTGCATAAGGCCGAATGCGACATGCATGCGATTTTATATACATAGATACTTATATATAGACATTTCTCGGTATTTTTGTACCTGGACACTTTTAAAGAAGGTATTTCAGCTTTATCACGAGCTATGTTGACCATATAAAGTATTTATATTCTTATCTATGTACATGCTATATATGTACGTGTATGCAACTCACATGAAAGCTTCTCTTTAATGTCAATTATGATTGATCATCCATTATATACAATAATAATATATAATTATATATTTTTTTATACAAAATAATTCTCGGAATTGTATTCAGAAGGTTAGAAATATTTATTTATAATTTATTTACATATTATTATTTTAGTTGATTAATAATTTATTAATTATGACTATATTTTCTGTATAATAATATTATTATAATACTCTCAAATATTTCTTGCATCTTTTTGTTAACGTTATTGATAGAATATTTATTAGATAAGAATCTAAGTAAAAGTCAGAATACAAAATCAATAATATACCATATTTTTATAATATACGCTCAATTAAAATTTATATTCATGAAATTAAGTTTTAGTTTTGCTGTTTCCTTTTATATTATAATTTTTTATAAATTCCTTCGAGTTTCTTTTTTATTCTCTAATGTCATTTTTTAGGGTTTATTAAATTTTTCTAAATTTTTATAAATAAATTTTTATAAATAAATTTTTATAAATAATAATAATTAAATAATCATTCTATGTTTTTTACTTAACATTTTTTTTTATTTAAATACTTTGAAGCTTCTTTTACCTATTTCTACCCTCCTATTTCCTAGGGTATTTATTTGTCGACTTTCCTATAGTTAGATTAGTCTATTTACAATTCGCATATTACTTGTCTTGGGGTTTTTCATGGCGCAGGCGTGCCAGTGCCACGCCGCACTACCCTCCACGACGATCTTGGCTGGAATTTCAGCTATGCCTCGGAGCAGGTTTCGTCAACGCGTTTTTTTTTCATTTTATTTTTATATATATTCTTTTTTTTATTAATTCACCGGTTTAGTTCACCTGATTTCTTAAGTTGTGCATTTTTGTCGCGTGTATTTCTGGTTTTCAAACGCTTTTCTGTTTCTCTCTCTCTCTCTCTCTCTTTCTCTCTCTCTGAGTGTGTTTTCCCCCACTTGGGCTGGCTCTACAACTGTTATCAGTCGCACTCGGTCTCAGCTGTAGATCTATGCTAATTTAATTTATTCTCTGGGTTGTGGTTAAGCGATCAAGTTTAGTATTTAACACGTTACCGTTATGGACTATCGCATTTTGGCACATTCCTCTGCATCCGCATCGAGATGTGCTAATAAAGATACTACGATAGCCACATTTCCAAAGATGAAGTCAACAAGTTTCCGACATCTAGAGTTAGATTATAAAGTGATCCATGAATAAATATATTTATTAATGGAAATACAAGTGAGAAAGTTGCACTCAAGCATAAATGACATCATAATGCGCGATTATGGAAATCAAGGAAATACAATTCATGTATGCTGATATGACATATATAACATATACATGTTTATTCCAAATGACAACAACAAATATATTCCTTTCGCTTCTTAGAGTAGTTTGCCTAGCTGATTGTTAATTGTAGCTATAATTGATCTATTTACACCTTGGCATTTATGATATCTAGCATTTTTGACATACCAAATGTTTGCTTATCACGCTTCTCGCTTCCTTTGCCAAATGGACTGACTAATCGCATTGGCCATTAACCTTGCCTTAATCAGCATTACCAACTACTTCATTTCCGGTTATTGGGTCTGACACTTACCGATAGTCTAATAATATTTTCACACAGCTGATTTCATGATTTTCTTCTATCTAGATCATTGTTAGTCTGCTGCGAAAATTAATAAAAAATATATAGATATACGTGGTATACTAAGTTCCTTAATTTCCTCTATTTTCACATACACTTATATATAGAAACATATACGGAATGAGGTATGAAAGTGTTCCGTCAGCTTCGAATGAAACAAGTTATACAGATATGCTTATATAAGAGATAAGTTTCTGTATATTTACTCATCTATTATTGACTAAGCTTTGTTAAATAACTTTTGCTTGATTCACAAACTAAATAATCATTAATTTATTTTTTTTATTATTTTCTTACTCGAATCTTTATGGCATTTGCAATCTTCTTCAATACCTCAATAATTTTCGGGTGCAAAGTTTAAAGTGTATATAAGTTTCTTAATGCTTAACCGTTATAAATGTAGTTGCGGCTAGTCATAAAATTCCCATATTTATTTAGTAAAAATTTTTGCATTGCATGTAACTCATTTTGAGTGGCATGTGAATATGTGAACAATTGCTGGAAAGCTGGAAACAATATGGGCCCCAGGCATAACTCTCACATAAAAATAGATGAATAGCACCTATATAAATATTACAGACACATATTCACAATTTACACCAAAGTTTGTTAATTTAACTATACATCGACTTATAGAGATTTCACATTGTTAACAAGTTGTTTTTTTTTTCCTGAGTTTACAGTTATTAGCAATCAATTTTCATATGCAGTCAAGGTCTTGAGAACCCGAGCTTTATTTCTATAAAGAAAAACAGAAACTTTTGTTGCATCGGCAATTATATAAAGAAAATTTCAAGCTAAGCTCATGCTGATCGATGACGCTTAGAAATTTGTCCGTTTCGGTATTTGGTTAAACGCGTTTCGATCCGGGGAACTTTCGAATTTCGTTACTTATTTCTTTCCTTTATGTTGGAAATATGCATAATTTATACCAAAGAAATATCTGCTTAATTAAATGGATGGACCATTTCGTCGGCTGCAACGCCCCAAAACAAACGAAAGCGGACAACAACCAAAAAAATACAAAAAATATGCTTTTTATAAACGACAAAAAAAAGTATAGAAATTGAAAGACAAAGAGTGAGGGTGAGGGAGAGAGAGGGCGAGAGAGAGAGAGAGAGAGAGAGAGAGAGAGAGAGAGAGAGAGAGAGAGAAATGCCAACAAGCTGTTTTTTGTTTTTTAAAAGACAGTCAAAGAGGAGACGAGAAACGCCTAAAAAGAGCAGAGCCAAACAAGTACATAGCCCAACACACACACACACGCACACACACACATAGACAGCGTCACAAGACGAGCCACAAACTGGTTCTAGAATCAATTTTTATTTTCTCAAGCTCAGCGTACAAAAAATAAGAATCCCTCGGCAAACCGAATGCACGAAATATTTTTGAGGCAGCTTCAAAATGAATTTGGTTAACCAACCTCTCAGAACAGGCCAAACCGAAACCAAAACCAAAGCCCAGACCAAAACTGAACCCAACCAGCAGGCTGTCAGGCAACCAGGCAGGCGGTCAGCCAGTCAGCCAGCAGCCAGTTTGTGGCATCCAAGCTGCAGATACGAAAAGTATACGAAAAGTATCTCCCCTCTGGCCCCCTGTCCGTCTGCCCCTCTGTCTCTGCACAGCTTCTAAGCGGCGAGATGAACGTCGCTCTGGGCTCGCAGGCAGACGAGATCTTTATACATTTTATAATTACTTCGCTTGTGGTTGTTGTTGTTGTTGTTGTTGCTGTTTGTTATTGTAGTATGTGCTAAAAGTATCCGCACACTGCCCTTGTCGTCCGTTTGGCACTCTGTATGTATGTATATATGTATCTCTGAGATACGCGCCTGGTACTAACTATTTGTGTTAAGTTTTTGACCACAGCAACAACACAAATTGTTATTGTACATTTGTTCTTTCTATTGTCTTCTATTTTGTATCGCTTAGCTTTCGTTTCTTTCTTTTCACAAATTTTCATTGTCGCCGCTTTCAGTTTTTAATGCGGTTTTTGTGTAGTCAAAACAGATTGGAT